ACAAATAAAGTCATGCCACCCCGGCCGTCTCGTGGTAAGCAATCGTAAGCAACCGGTCATTGATGAAGTGAATACAACGTAATACTGGAATTTGAATATACGACAAAACCAGCGTTTCGATCACTGGGCGGAGTGTTTCCAGTGACGGTTTAGTTGGCCGCATGCATCTGCGTCCATATCTCTCGTGAGACTTGGTTACCCTGATCGTGGGTTTCGAGTTCAGACTCATCCTCAGTTTCTCGGGTACTCATGTCTTTCTTGAAAATCTGTAGGGCCGCAGGACCAAATGAACGCCACTAGTGTTGATCAGAGATTGCAAATGATCTTTGTGTTCTCCCTTGACTAGATCGTTTAAACAACTTCTGAGAGAATACGTTCCAGGAAACGGGAGACAATCAATCATCACACATTTATTCAGAAAAAGTATCTGACGCTTGGCTCAGTCGTGACAGGGTTGTCCGTTTGAATAGTGGTGCGACGACTGGATACAGGTTCGAGGCCAGACATCGAGTGGTTACACCAAGTGACTACGCAGCGTCACGCATACCGGCGATCAATATTCGCGCTTTTTCTAGACTTCAAAGGAGCCTGCGTTCTCGTTGATAGATTCTTATGCATATATTTATCAATTAGGACAGACACTCTTCATTGTTTCTACTCCCGTTCTTTACGCAGCGTAAGAGATTACCAAAACATCGAGAGCTCACATTCATATACGGATAAATATAAGCGAGCCTGGATTATGCAGAGGACGCTGCTGTTTGGCGACCAGACATCAGCACAAACCACGCCTAAAATCAATATGACAGGTCTGTTTTTCTGTTGAAACGTCGAAATAACAAGATTGTTGATTGCTGCAACAGATCAGGTTGGTGCAAGTATTCTCAAGGCATTGGGGATTTTCGCCAACTCGGGTCATTTGAAAGTTGGAGACGGATTTCACTAAGGAAAAAGGGTTACCTGCACGACTGTGAGAGAAGTCCACCTGATGGCTACGAAAACTACCCACCCCCGTATTTTAAGGTCTCAATTTCGATTACGGGCGTTTTCTTAGCAAAGTATGTGTCAGATAGCTGAAGTAACGAAATGTTCCGTAAATGACTGGGAATCCAGAACAGTAGATAAAACTCACTGAGTTGATGTGGTCGGGGGATACACTACATGCACCTGACCATTATTTACTGAAGAAAGTGGTGGTTAATGCTCCAGACTCTTGCTGGTCAGTGGTTAGCGACGGACAGACCATGACCTGACGACACAAGATGAATGCAGGAATAATTGTCCGTCTAATCGTAACGATATTACTTTATTCCGATCGATGTTCAGAGGTGTCTATTACAACGCTCTTCTCTGCACCTTCAAAAGACATTGGAGAATAAGCAACTTGCGTCACAGTGACCTACCAACGGTGCAGGTGACTCAGTATCCTCCTCATCCACTCCCAATACAATACAGGCTCATAATGATGTCACTTGGATTGGACAGCGTGCAGGCACTTAGACTGGGTTAAGTGCACTACTCCGCACCGCCTACAGTCAATTGCAAGAAAAATCAGACAAACCTCAAACCGGCCCAACGATCCTACAGAACTCGGACCACCTGTGGCTAAATTCATTTCGAGTTGCTGTGTCAGAGCACAAACCTTTCACCAGCAAAGGACTGGAATAGAAAGTGGTGCTTACTTTGCACGACGGTTGTCGAGTACGAACATTGTATGTCTCAACCACCTTAGTCCGATGAGTATAATTTGCTGATCCAACTACTGCGGTCCAGCACCAGGTGTTTGCTTACGCACAATGTTGAAATGAGCAAACATTTGGCGAGTAGGAGGCTTCATTATGATTTGAATTGGTGTACTTTCACAAGTGGTGAAAAAATAAGCAGTCCTTCAGCTTCAAAACACACCGGACAGACTGACAAACCACGAATGAACATACCTGTCCGAATCATTCTGTATCACTCCAACGGCATCTGCCGATGATACTGTAGGATTGAAGCCATTCAACCATGGGTTATTGGTATCCGTGGAAGCGTTAAGGTATGCGTTCATCTGTAGTACTGCCGCATTAAGAAGCACATTGATCTGACGCAGCGCTGTCAGGCGAGCATTTGCACTGGCCTTCAAACGAGCTTCTACGACATGGTCAGGTGTACCTGAAGGTGGCTCTGGCATTGGTGTGGTGGTATTGGGAAAAAGATTTCCTGTGAAGTATAAGTATAAGATGGAATGATCAACAAACACGCACTCATGACCGCAAAACAGAATGGATATTTGGCAGTGAACCAAAATATTTCATCACAGGTTACGCTCCCGAAATCCAAAAGAACAAAAGGGCGAAGAGTGCTAACCCATGAGGAACATTCACTATCCCACATTAAATCCTTTTTTCAAATCCAGGGGCATCAACTATATTCGATGGCAATGTTACCAAATACGAGTAGCTATGGGGCGCCAACAAAGTGCTGGGTTGTTTGTCGAGTCAGGCTACTGGATTGACAACGTCTAGTCCGCAGCCGAGCAGACATCATCGGTGCATGATTGAGTTAGCGCTCGCTCCTTTCCTGTAACTAGTATCTACATCGTGCTTCCTTAGTTGCACAAAGTTCGCAACTTGATTTAACTTTTTAAAGTCCGTGCTGCGTCGTCGTGTCACCTTGTACTTGAGTGGCTGGTCGAACACCTCTACTTCATCAGTCCTGTTCCAACTGATCAGCTCGATTGTTGCGTTGTGATCTACTCTCTCTCTCCCCAACAGATTGGCCGATTTAACAACCTGAATTTCGCAATCTTTTTCTTTTTGTCAATTGGACTGTTTTTTACAACTCTGCTTTATGCTAAGCTATTAGGGAGTTCTTCCCGTTCGTTGGGTCGATGTCAATGTGTTTATTGACCGATGATCAAACGCAAGCACGTGAACAGAAAATACCCACTCAACCACATCCTCGACCGAGAACAGGACGTTTGTAATCCACTTGTCCAACCAGATAAACCGATAGACGACTAGTTTTTTACAACTAAACATATTTACTTGTCAGATAGACCACTGAGTGAAGAC